CCCCCCCACCCACAATATGAGAATAAAATGAGACCCTAGGTTAAGAGTTAAATGAATTTAACCTCTATTCATAGCGGCCCAGTGCCGTACCTGATTAACAGAGAACCTGTTATAAAGGGTCCTATCTTCTAGGATATAATGCAGCGTTTTTCGTTGGACGTCAACGCACGTTCCGGAGGAACATTTCAGTCTTCAGAGTCGAAGAATAGGACAAACAACAAAGCAGCGTGAAAGCAGCTGGCAGGTGGTTTCTTGATTGATTTATTCTTTGCCCCTCAAGATGGAGGCGACATGCTCCTCCGAAACGTCGATTAACTTTTAACAGACTAGACGACATTACATACCAGAAGACAGAATTCTTCACCACTACCGCTGTGAGAACCTCAAGATCTACAGAGAACTGTTATATTAGAGAATACACATGACTGAAATTAAGGTAAAGTTGTCCCTGGCACTATGCCATGAAGACATGGGAGAGTGGAGGTATACCTCCATCATTCATGACCTCAGCTTCACGTCCCGGGGTAAGAGCCCGTAATACCCACTGGATAGGGGGCTATGTGGACCCCAGAGCCGGTCTGGAAGCTGTGAAGTTCAGAAAAATCTAGACCCTGCCGGGAATCTAACCTCGACCTTCAAGCCCGTAGCCAGTCGCTATATCGACCGAGCTATCCCGACTCCTTTATAAATGTCACTAAGTCAACAAATTCATCTGACACACTTTTCAAAAGGGTGAATGTGTAATGATTATGGCCCGGATCTTTATGCGCTAAAAACACTTAAAATATGCACTAAAAACACTTAAAATATGCGCTAAAAAGCGGGAAAATATGCACCGAAAACAAAACAATATGCACTTAAGAAACAGGTCACTTTATTCAGACTCGCCTATTTACATGTGTCATTCACTGCAGAAAGTAGCATCACAACAGGCAACTGGAAGTCTTTCCGTGTTTTCTGGAGACAAACTGCGTCTACTGTCGGTCAAAATGAGTTTATAGGCTGAGAATGATCTTTCTGTATCAACTGACGTGATTGAACAGTACTTATACACTGGCGCTGAAGGTTCGGAACATTCATCTGGCAAAGATACCCTAATTCCACTCAAGTACTGACTAACTGACTGGAACTTTTTTAGTCCTGGGTTCCATTTCAACACCTTTCCTAACTTGAATTTAATCTTCTCTCCAATTTCGCCTGGAGCGGAATTCAGTGAACAAGTTGCATTCTGAACGAGTTGAACTGAGTCGTTAAGAAGTGCACCACAAGATTCTAAGCTCTCAATGGCTTTTGAAACTGTAGAAAAATGTGCATGGATAAAATTCACCTCTTGATAAACAGTATCACTTCCAAACACCACTTTTGCTTCACAGACACATGCATACTCATCTTCAAGTTTTGTAACCACTTCTTTTACTTGATTGAAATTCTCCTGATAAAATGAAACTGCGGATAACCATGTCCCCCACCTAGTTAGAACAGGTTCAGGTGGCAGAGGAACCTGAGTTAGGCAATCTTTGTAGAACTGGACACGAGCTGGTGCTTTCAGAAACAGTTTTTTCTCCACTTGCAAATAAATCGTTAACAGCTCGAAACTGTGCGCGTATTTTTCTGCAATACGGTGTAATCCGTGCGCTAAGCAGGTTACGTGTATAAGATTTGGATAAAATACTTGTAAGGCCTATGCTGCTTTCAACATGTAGAAAGCACCTTACAACAATTATTCTCAATTTCAGATGGCCATAGTAGTCGCAGAGAATCATTTACAAATCTTGCTATTGTGCTATAGTTGGTTTTCTCTAGTACTTTGCAAGCAAGAAGATGAGATTTGCTGGGTTCGTCTGGATGTAGCTTACCAACTACGAAATTTGCTATGCATCGGCCACACAAATTGGCTGTCTCATCCTTAATTATCCTTAATTTCAAACATATATGCAGAAATATGCTCTTACGTGTAGAATATGCAATAACGACTAAAAACCCTCAAAATATGCATTTGCATATGCGCATATGCATTTTCAAAAAATCCGGGCCCTAGTAATGATATACGTAATATTGGCAGTACGATTAATTTACTGTAATTGGATTTGCAACTTCTATATATGCAAAAAAATAATGCAAGATCCCAATATACAACTTTGAAAAATAGAGACGCCTACTCTAACACAGAGTACACCTTCATATTTCCCGCCAAAAATTAGGTCTCGGTTTACGTGTCTATTATACTATTTCATAAATCCCTAAACATTACTTTTCTGCCATTTCAATCTTGAAGAAGACCTCGCGTTTCTTCGAAGCTTCGGAAAATTTATGATTATCGTCACGGCGATATCCATAGAATATTCTACAGTAAAAAGCGTTTTGTGTGCGTGTGTGACATATGGAGACCCTTGCCCCCCGTAACGGTTCTCACGTAACGGAACAAGGTTGCTTACCTGTAGATGCCACTTCTCTTGCCAACGAGTTTTCTTACAGATGTTTTACGATGAATTAGTTGATTTAAATGGCCGCTTTATGAATACATATTTCATGTGCCACTCGCTTGCTATAGTCCGTCCCTTAGGCCAAACAATTGTAGGGAGAATTAAGAACTTGAGGGGACCAAAGACCAGTAGATAACCAGGAGGGGCATAATTTGTAGTTTTCACCTTGAGTGATTAAATAAAGAGGGGCAGATGTAATGCCCACGGGAGAAAATTCCACTAACCTTTTCCCTGAGATTCGCGGGACAACAGTTGAACGATCACAAGAGCAGAAATGCATACTCCAATGGAGGGCACATATTTCAAAAGCATTCTTTGCGATTTCACATATCTTACTGGTTTTGACGTTCAGTTATTTCAGATATAAAGCTGCTATGACAAAGGTAATCAAACACATTATGGGCATCACAGTATTAAATATTAAATTATTGGTTCTACGGAGAAACCAACGTAGACCAAACTATACATCGCCATAAAACGGGGACTCATAATACAGTGTGTTCAGTTCAAACCTCCCACATTTTAATTAATCATTGCGAATAAATTGTGATAAATTATGGATTATAATTAACACTAGATGAAAGAAAAACTCAAAGAATTTTATTTCCGTTTTTCTTCGGTGAAGCTACAGTATCTGGCAGCGTATACCTTGACATGTTAGAACAGTTCCTGTATCCCTAGGTAGCCGAACTGCAGCCTAACATAATCTTCCAACAAGATGGAGGCCCGCACATTGGGGTCTGGATGTTCGGAGGTCCCTCAATGTCACCTTCCAAGATCGCTGGATTTGACGTGGCGGACCAATTCGGTGACCACCACATTCACCGGACCTCTGGGGTTACGTGAAGGACCGTATGTTCGTGCCTCCAGTGAATTACCTCCCAGATTTACGAGCCCGCATCCGTGAAACGATTGCTACTGTACAGATGGACATGTTGGAAAGAACGTGGCAAGAAATTGAATACAGATTCGATATTGTTCACGCTACAAATGGTGCATACGTAGAGGTTTATTAGTGTGTCAAATAAAATGTTTTGAGTTGTCCTTGTATTTCCTGTAGCTTCATTTTCCTACCATTCATACTTTCTGCCATAAGATCTGATTAAATGTGGGAGGTCTGACTGACACACCCTATTATATTTCAGCATCCTGTTGCATTGATAAATCACTTGTCCACTTGTTTCCGTCTCAAACGCAACATAAAGTTTTATTTCAAAATGTCATTACAATCACACTTAAATTCCCAAAATGTCATTAAAATCATATTGTTTTACTGTTGTGTCATGTTTCGGCCCTATAAGTCCATCCTCAGGCAAATATTAATCGCCTGAAACCGCAACACTCTATCACCTCGTATGTCGATATAATACATTCTACTTTTGCATGTCGTCCTTGTTAGAGAATGTATGTCCATACTTCACTCACGCTACCTGCATATTGCGGTGTCCACGCTGTGTTCCTTTTGTGCGTAGCTCTCCTTAGCTGGGCGTATATCACGCTTTATTGTGCATCAATCTGGCTGAGAGTCGTAACAAGCCAAATCTTTTTAATACAAGTCTCCCATATAGAATTTCAAAAATATCTCTCGAACGATATGCTGGACACAAGGGGACGTCCACTCATAACGTTATGTAAACCACGCTTTATTTTAGATCAATAAGGCTGAAAACCGGCACTGCTGGACAACTTCAGTAAAAGTATTGTACTTTATATCGAATTTGAAGAAAATCCGTCCAACGGTATATGTGCTGATACTACATCATAGACTTATATGCAGACATCAGGCGCTCCTTTGTTGCTTTGTAAAGAATGCCTACAGATTAATGTTCCTTAAAATACTGCATTATATTGTCTTGTGACGCCATGTGAAAAAGTCATGAAATATCAGACTATGGTATTAATCCAACGTTAGAATCTAGAAACTGCATCCCCAATACTACAGGCAAGAGATTCTCAACTAAATAGTGGAGAACGCCAGGTCTTCGTCCTGCAAACCATGCTTCGCTAAGCACACACAACTTGTCCTTCCTGTCCGTGGCGCCTCCGGCGATAAATAATACAAACGGAAGAGAGACAACAATCATGATCATGGCCTACTTA